AGAGGAGCAAACATCTTGGTCACCATCATTTGGAAAGTTGCCCTAGCGTTCTTCAAACCAAAAGGCATGACTTGGTAGCAAAAGAGTCCCCTCGGTGTAGTGAAGGAGGTGATCTCGCGGTCGGGGCCATGCATGGCAATCTGATGATAACCACGGTAGGCATCCAAGAAACTGAGCCTGTTATGTCTAGCCGTTAAGTCCACGAGCTGGTCTATTCTGAGCAGTGGAAAGCTGTCTTTAGGGCAAGCTCGGTTGACGGTCTTATAGTCGACACAAACTCGCCACTTCCCATTCTTCTTTGGTACAACAACTGTGTTCGAAATCCACCGAGGATAGTGCACTTCCTGAATAGCTCGTGCCTCAAGCAAGTTCTTCACTTCCTCTGCAACTACCTCGGCGTGATGCAGCGCCGATCTCCTTGCTCGCTAAATGACCAGCTTGGCTCCGGGGAAGACGTTTAGGTGATGACAAATAAAACTCGGATCGAGGCCGGGCATGTCATAAGGCGACCATACGAAGACTTCGATATTGGCCATCAAAAACTCAACCATCTCGGTCCTTTCTTGTGCGGTAAGGCTTGAGCCGAGCAAGAAGAACCTGTCCGGACTCTCTGTATCAATTAGCACTTCGACCAATTCTTCGACGGTTTTGTCCTCGGCCCTAGTGCCCACATCGTCAAGGACTCATCGGTCTTCCGGTCCCTCTATCATTTGGACGAAGCCTTTGGCAGCTCAGCTCTCGTTGACTGCCACGAAGCATTGCTTTGACATGACTTGATCGTCCCAAATCTCCTCAATTACCCCCGTAACCGAGGGGAATCTCATCACCTGATGGAAGGTCGACGCTACGACTTGCATAGCGTGAAGCCATCCCCTTCCAAGGATCAGGTTATAAGTAGATGGCACCTGCAACACCCAGAATTCCACTTGCTTGACCACGGATCCCGCTTTGACCGGCAGGATAATTTTTCCCAAAGGCCACTTAGGTTTTGAGTTGAAACCAACCAGTGGCGAAGTTACCGGAGCCAAGTCTGTATTCCGAAGCTTGAGCTGTTTGAATACGTTGTAATACATGATCTCGACCGAGCTTCCCTGATCGATCAAGATGCGTTTCACATCGAATTCTTTGACGCGGAGTGTGACCACTAAAGCATCGTTGTGCGGCGTCTGAATGCACTCTAGGTACCTCGTAGAGAAACTGATCACGTCTTTTTCTTCGGTCTTGCCCTTTTTATCGCGGGCTGGACCGACAAAACTACCCTCATGTGCTCCGCTTTCTTGATCATATCTCAGAGTTCACATACACGCGCCGGTTCTACAATGCCGTGGATAACATTAACAATGCCCTGAGGGGGTGCCTCCAAGTCATCCGGTCCACGTGGATCAACCGGAACAGGATGCGCGGCTTTAACACCCCCATCAATGTAAAGGTCCAAGTGTCCGGCTGCGACTAGCTCTTCCAAGTGTTGCCTCAAAGGCAAACAGTCCTCTGTCCGGTGGCCGCGTTCCGGTGAAATGTGCAACGGTACCGCGGATTGAAACCCTTCTGTCCGTCGCCCAACTTAGCAGGAAACCAGATATAATCATCGTCACGGATTTCACTAAGTATGCGATAAATTGAAATCTTAAAAACTGTGGTAATGTCTGTCCTGGCCTTCAACCTTCTATTTGCATCAGCGACGTCATCCCGGGGGTAGTCATCTCGATCATTTCGACGACCCCTACTCCAGTTTTTGCAATTTGAGCCACGGTCTAATTCCTTTGCGCGATCATTTGAACAATTTGCCTCCTGTCCGATCGCGTGTACCTTGCCAGCCGACCTCTTGTCTGTTGCTATCGGTGTAGCCTTCGCGATAGATGCTGCCGCATCATCTTCCACTCGGATGTGCTCATTGATGCGCTGCATTAACTGGCCCCTGGATGTCAGCTGGTGCATCGTAAGCGAGTCCCGCAGTCTATGTCCGACCAGGAGACCACGTTTGTACTGCGTGATTGCAAGGTTGACCGAGCAATCCAAGATCTCGTTGAAGGTTTCCCAATATCTGGAGTTGTATACCTTGAACATGTCGCTCGGCCCCATCTCGACACTGAGAAGGTGGTCAACTTCCTACTACATCTTAGTGTTGGTTTTGAAGCGCGTCACAAAGGCTTCCGCCAACTGATGCCACCTTTCTATGCTCCCCTCCGGCAGTCTCTCAAACCATTTCAAGCCCAGCTCGCCCAAGCCTAACGGAAAATAAGGCACATAAAGGCGTCATTTCGCCTATGTCCGGCCATGACCTGTCGGAAGTGGCTTACATGCATATAAGGATCGGTTTTTCTGTCGTAGAGCGTGAACTTTGGCTGGTGGAACCCTGCCGGAAGCGGTGTTGTTTCTATCTGCAAGGAGAAAGGGGTGGCGCTCAGCCTTGCCAAGTCTGTGTCTAGAAAAAGTGGCACAGCTAGGCGGGGTGGAGACATTTCGACCTCTTCACTGGCGTGAACCCCATAGGATAGCCGCTGCAACGCCAGCACCCTCTGAGCCTCCTGCCGGCGAGCCCGTTCCTTCAAGACTACCCACAAATCCTCTGAACGAGCAGAATAAGAATACCTCGACGTCGTCGCCGGACGTGAGGGTTGATAGGTGCTATCTTGGGCGCTGGACTTCTCTACGTGCGCGTCGAAATCTCCAACCTTGTAACTTCTGGTGATTGAGATGGACGGAATATGCCGTTGGCTCTGACTGCATGAACGGCTGGATTGGGTGCGCTCACTGCGGTCTCCCACTCCAGCTACACCCTTCCTTTTAACATGCCGCTTGAGATCCTCCATCTCCGCCGCCATTCTCCGGATGACGGCATCTTGGTCCCTTAGCTTGTGTTCCAGACGTCTGGCATGCGATTCTCTCAGCTGCTGGTGACCGTCTGGACTCCGAGAGTGACCAAAGCTTCTTCTGCGCTTATCTCGCACGTCTCTTGAGTGTCCCCCTGGAGAAGTCTCCAGGTCCGCCATAGGAAGGACGGTGGGATGTCCTTCTCTCCGTCTGCCTGACTCCGGGGTAACTCCGTCAATGGCAGACAACGGAATCTCGTCGTTGTTCGCCATGGACGGTGATCAGATGAGCTTGGAAGACAAGGTTTTGTCTGTCAAGTTTCCACAGACGGCGCCAATTGTACGGGGAGCAAATATTCTGGCAAGCCCGTACTCCTTTCTTCCAAGCTCCTGCCTGTCCGATCGATCTGCGAGCACAACGGCGGTGAGCTACTCGGCGGTGTGTGGCCGGAATACCCTTCCGACGATCAAGTTAGACACACACAGGGATAGAGAGAGAGAGAGAGAGGATTGAGTGTTTAGTGTAAATCTCACCAAATGTTCATTTGCCTCAGCGTGGGGGGCGCAGACTCGCTTATATACCTTCTGCACCCTAAATCTACTCCCATTAGTTTCTCGACACGTGGTGCTGCTATCCCATCTGTCAGCACAAATCTACTTGAACATCACCTAACTGTCAGCCCACACCACTGGGAGCTCGGCAGCCGAGCTGCATCATCTCGACTGTCAACGGTCGTGATGCGCAGCTAGCTAGAGCGCTTCGCTCGCCAAGCTCAATGACGACCGAGCTCAGTTGCATTCCGGCGTAGCCAAGCTCGGGACAAGTCATGCTGGTTAGCCGTCAGCCTTCCTGCCGAGCTAACGCATGAACCGTGGAACCTAGTGAGGTAGCGGACATCTCGGCCGAACCTCACTTGACCGCTAATACGACATCAATTATGCAACTATGCCATTACTGAGCAAGTAGCTCGGTTTCACAGCAACTATGTCATTACCGAGCGAAAATCCTTTCTGGATGGGCCAAGGTTGCCACGGCCCAAATATGTTCGGTCCACAATTTGTCCGTCCCTTGCCACGGCCCAATCCAAATCATAAATCTCCCTCTCAAATATAAAAGTCTATTTGGTTTTTCAAATTTTCTAAACAGTATTTAGATTTAGATTTAAAATAAAGATATTATATGTAATATTGTTTTTTTACAATCATTAATAAGAAAATGAGCATATCCCTTCTAGCAACGTAATGAAGACCTTCTTGACCCTTTTTAACTCCCTTTCATATTATGTTAAAATCATATTTGATTCGTAAATAGAATAAGGAAAGTAAGTTATTTCAACACAATTTCAGCTCAATTTGAGCTATCCCAAAGAAGGGTATTGTAATCATTTTTTGGCAAAATTCTTATTACTGGAAGGTTGTCTCCCCCTCCCAAACCAACAAATTTGTTCCTGAGTTTAAAAAGTCTCCAAATGATCCATATACAGAATAATTTTATCCTGATAAAATAATCCATTCCCATTTTTTATTCAAATCAAGCATTATCTAAAATATGTTGTCATATGCTGAAAAAATAACAAAATAAATAAAAATTAATATTTTTAACAATGAATGAGATGTACCCCAATATGCGCTAACGTTTTACCAAAAGGAAATGGTTTGGTGGTCACAAATTTTGTGGTTTAAAAAGTTTAAAATTGTCAAAACGACGTCATTTTGGCTTGTTTTGCACCTAAAACGACATTATTTTTGACAGTTTCAGACCATTTAAGTCACAGAATTTGTGACCCCCTAACATTGCTGAATAACTTGTGCAAATTTGAAAAAAAAAAAAAATTCTAGACAACATTAAGGTCAAGTTTGACAAGTTGAAAAAAAATTAAAAAGCCAAAAAATTATTCAAAAAATGCACAACTCTCAATTTTAATTTTTTCCTACACACTAATTATATACAATTTTTTAATACATATTTTTTCATAAAAAATCAAAAAGTTAACCCAAACATCTATATTTTTTTCTTCAATTTTTTAGTCTAAAAAGATAAAAAATATACTTATTTAAGACATCCTAAACAACCCCTAAACTTGAAAACCCTGTCCATTAATTTGCAAAAAATGAAATAAAAGTACATCAAAATTTAAAAAAAAAATAATCAAACAATTCCATAGTTGTGAAATAAATTGCCAGCGATGATAATCAGTTCGTCAAACCCAAGCATACATACGTCTTATTGGAAGGTCATATAAATACACATTGGCATCTGTCATTGACCACTCTTGAAAATACAAAATTACAAATAAAAAAAACACAGAAAATGAAACTCTAAAGAAGTACCCAAAAAAACAAAAAAAAAAAAAAAAAAAAAAAAAAAAAAAACGAACTAGGAGAGGTAAAAGTGAAAAGATGAAATTTGACTCTCTCCTCAGAGTCTGAGGCATCCACACACTATACGGTGAGGAGAGGAGGGTTGAGTGGGTGACTGGTTGACCAAAATGGGCCCATTAAGCCGAGTTCAATGTTGAGGACTCGGTGGTAGTAGCGAGTTGCCAAGCAGAGGTGGCGATGAGGGGTCGAGTGTGCCAACCCAGCAAGAGACACCCACTGTTCTCCTCCACCCTGTACCCATCCCCACCTGCAAACAGAGCCAACAACATGCTCGCCTGCCTGAACGCGTTGGACCCCAGGTGAGCCGGATCAAACCCCGCCGAACTCATCCGATTCCTCCATTGACTCAGCGACTCGTGCCTCTCCACTCTCTCCGTCCCTTCGCAGGCCACCACGTTGCATATCTGCCTTCCCAAATATACCTCCGACATCACCACGTCCTGGCTATTTTTCGGCTGAGTCAACCCGGAGCTCTCCAACGAGTCGAACATCGTCGAGTAGTAATGCAGAGCCTCGTTGAACCGGTCCGTGAAAATGGCTCCGTTGTGGCTCGCTTCTTGCTCCACCACGGTCACAATCTTCGGCCTCATGGCCTCAATCGATGACAGAACTTTGTCAATCGCACCGGGTCGAGCCAACAAACGGTGGAGCTCGAAGACTGAGTTGACAGCCACCGTCTCAACCTCGCTGGGCCGAATATCAAGTATCGAAGCATCAAGATCGGCCAAGCTATTCGCTACGAATCCTCTGAATTCGAATTCAACGCCGATGGTTTCAGCCAACTGAGCTAGCTTCCCTCAAACACAAAAAAAAGTCTGTGTTATCAGGCTGGGGAGGCCCAATTCCTGTGAGACGGAAAGCGGGTGGACCGCCGGGTCGCAATGCGAGGGCTTGCATGAGAGCAGGCCACTGCATCCCCTGTTTCAAGCTGAAATCGATGACGTGAACTCGGGTAGCTCCAGCGAACGCTTCGAGAATGGCTTGATTGGCGGTGAAGTGTGCGAATTTGAGGTATGGACAGGTCTCGTAGAAGTGCATCTGAAGGACGTCGGAGGTATCGAGGGAATCGTGTGGGTAGATCTTGTAAATTCTCCGAGCCAAGGCTTCTGCGAAGTAGGTGGCGACTTTCCTCATAGCCCCTGCTTGAGACACCGCCAACAAGCCTATGTGCTTCACCAAAGCATCCGCCAGCTTCAGATTGTCTTGCTGAACCGCCTCCGCGCAGGCCATCAAGGTGTGAACCAGTCGGACTCCGGCCTCTTGCGAATCCACAAGCACCACCGGCCTCGCACCAGCACCAATCTCCGACTGATGATCATCAGATCTAATGGAAACAGTTTTGATGCGTTTATTATTTCCATTTTCCCTCCTCGAATTTTCCTTGTGTTTACAGATGGCACCACCGGGAATCGCACTCAAGTCGTACTCGGAATTGTCTTCGTAAATCCGAGACTGTTGTTGTAACTGTGGAGTAGCAAAATCAATGGTGGTGGGAGTCCGAGTAGTAGTAGTAGTAGTAGTCCCTGTACCTGTACCTGTACCTGTAATAGTCGAAGAATCACCTGGAAGCAACAGAGAATCGTCAACAACGACCGAGTGGTTGTGACCGACATCAAAAGCAGCAGCGAGTGGTGAAGCGTTGTTGAGCTCAGAGAGCATGCTCTGTACCCACCCAGATAGATCAGAGGGGTTGTAGTGAACAGTATCACACAAAAGGTGAGAAATCCCATCATCAGGAGCAGTACCCATGACCATCTCCAGCTGCTCAAGCTTCTGCGCCACGTCAGCCATGTCCGATGATTTCACCTTGTATCCCAACACCTCCAGCAGCTCATCCATTCCGCCTCCTCCTCCTCCACAAATCCCATCATCGGGGTGGTCTTGCCACATCTTCCCCTTCTCCGCCCCCATTGATGAACTCTCTCCCTTGTCTCGCTCTCGATCTCGATCTCGATCTCGATTTCTCTTCATTGTGTCTCAAAATTTACTTTCCCCAATTCCTCACTCGCATAAATTTCCAAATCTAATCTCTCCTCAATTGACCACTGCTTGAAGGTTTTCGATCTGCTTGGTTTTTCGCAACACTTTTTCTTTTACTACTTTGTGAGAGAGAGAGAGAAGTGCTCGTGATGGGGCGCGAGCTCCAAGAGAGGAACTACAGGTAGAAGCAGAACTGGAGGAGATAAGGAAGAGGAAGAACGGACGCCATAATAAATGTTCTTTTTTGTTTCCTTTTCTTTTTGTTTTTCTTTTTCAATTATTATTTTACACCATCAAAGTATTATTAAATTTTCGCTTTAACCCCTAAATTTTAGATTTTTTAAATTTTAATATAAAGAGCAACTGTAGTAACATTAGAGTTGCAAATAAATTGAGCTGATCGTAAACAAATTCAAATTTGATTTGAAAAGGACTCCTTCAAACTCAATTTGTTAAGTTTTTATTGTGATTAAGTTCGAATTCATTAAAATATTAATAAAAAAAGCCATACATATTAAAGTTCGGCTCATTAATTAGACCCGTTTACCATTTATTTAAATAACATAAAAATACGAATAAAAAATAAGATAAATATGTTATTTATATATGTAAATCATATAAACGTAAATAATAGTTAATTATAGATAATACATTTATATAATAGTAATGGTAGATATTCAGGGTGTTTGGGAAGAAAGTCTTTTTTTTTTTCACTAAAAGACAAATTGGTTATAAAATCAAAAAAAATAAATCCAAACAAAATATCACATCAAATCTCATAATTATTTTACTTTTTCTCTCACAAACATTACATCCAACTACAAAAAAAATTCAACTATCTTCTCAAACACAAAAAAAAATTTCTCCAATAACATTCTACAACTAAAAAAACCTACAAAAAAATTCACTTTCCAAACACCCACATTATTATTTTGATAAAATATTGACTTTTTTTTTAATATTTTATATATCTTGTATATATAATTATACAACCAAAATTTCAATTATAATTTTAATCTCATACTACAAGTATGAATTTATAATTTATTTGACTTGTTAAAACTCGTGAACAGACTCGAGTTCAAATAAAACCAAAACCAACTCAATTCAAGCTTGATTCGTTAAATTTTTATTGAGTTTAAACTCAAACTAGTTAAAATCTACATAAATAAGTTCAAATATACTACAATAACTCAACTTGTTTACAACGCTAAGTAGGACTAGGCAAAAAATTATAAATCAATTCAACTCAAACCAAACCATATGGAGCAATCGGGGAAGCTAGTAAAAAGTTACCTTTTGGCTTTTAATCCATTTTGAGTCGCATCACCTCTTACATTTTTTACACACAAAAGAATAAAAAAACCAAAAATAAAAAATAAAAAAACTAACTTTTAACCAACTTCCCCAATCACTCTCGCTTGATTTGATTTTTCTCAATATACATCCCGTTCTAATTTTTAAAATAAGGAAATTGTAATTTACAATTTGACTAAAGCCATGAACAATAACAAAGGAATGAGAGATTTATGTGATAGTAGGAAAGGAACAAAGAACTAGGGGTGTAAAAAGAAAAAATGCATAAAATCTAGGGGTGTAAATTTGGCTCGGCCGATGTCAAGCCTCGCGAGCTCCCGCAAAAATTTGGGTCAGGCCAGGTCAGTCCATGAACCAAAAAATTAGTCCCCAGCCCAGGCCCATGGGTATTCAGGCCTAGGCCTAGACTTAGGCTTGGGCAGGCTTGAACATTTTTTTTTTAATTTTTTCTACTAAAATTTTATTATTTCTCTGCCGGGGCCGGGTCTTGAGTAAGCCTTAAGTGGACAGATGGATCAGGTCGAGTCGGGCTTTAAAATGATAGCTCAGGCTCAAGCTCAGGCTCCACGGCCTATCCTGAGTTGCGGGCGGACTTCAGGCCATTCACAGGCTGCAAACCATTTTTACAATCCTAACAAAAGCTTAAAGTAAACAATAAAACAGTCGAAAATTTACAAACTCATAAACACATTCTATGAGAGAAATAAGTAGGAATGACCTCCCTCCTGTCCGTGATCAAACTGGAGAGTACTGTTGGATTTGTGGAGGTCCACCACGGGTTCTGTTTCGATAATTCAAACTGTTCAATGTGCAAAACTCATCGAGCACTATATAACTGTAAAAAAATTATGTTGATCGGATATTGATAGCTATGTGATCAAATCAAATTTTTGTAAGCCGTTTGTTTTTCACTGTCCATTTTTTTCATACAAAATTAATTTGATCACCTGGCTATCTATATCCGATCAACGTGATATTTTATAAGCATATAGTACTCGACGAATTCTACATATTTAACGGTTCGTATTTTCAAAATAGACCCGTGATAAGTCTCCACAACCTAATAATACTCTCTAATCCGTGATCCGACCAGAGTAAAGCCAATTCCAAAGTAATTTCTTTGAGAAGTGAAAGTACAATACTTTTTGATGACTCAAGCAATCAATTATTATAATTCATTCTTTCAAATTTATAGAAACAGATAATCCTATATTTTGTGCAAAAAAATAAAGAAAGAAATGGAGTGAGATGGGAAGTGAATTGCAAATAGTCAAAAAGATAAAATAAAGAAAACGAGCATGGAAAAAAAAATAAAAGAAGGAAAGATATGAAGGAGTTAACAAAGAAAAGGTAAATTATAAACACATCTTGAGATTTATTTAAATTATAAATTATTTTTTATGATTTTAAAAATTATATTATGTCCTTTAAGATTTCTAATTTCATAACAAATAGGTTCTTTTATTAATAAATTATTAAGTTAATTAACAGTTTTTAATAATATTAAAATTTTATTTCAATTAATAATTCAAATAATTTTATTATTATATAGGTGAACAGATAAAAATTTCACTTTTTCAATTACTTATGTTAAATAAATTTTTTTTGATAGGGAGGTATTTGTAATTTTTCAAACTATAGGGGACAATTCATATTTTAAATAAATTTCAGGAGGTGTATTTATAATTTATTTAAAATAAAATTAAAATATTTCTTTAAACAAAAAAGTTACGGTCTAAAATATACTTAGAAATGAATATGTGGGGGTAGAAGTTGAATTGATGAAATATAGGGGGTTTCACATATGAAATAAATATGAGATATTGATGTGAAATTTTGAGTAATTCTTTAATTTTTTATTCGAATGCATAGCTTTACTGTTCTTTAAAACAATTACTAGCCAATATATTAAAATTAATTTTTAATTCAAAATACATTCTAAAAATGTATAATAACTTTACTCTTTCGGATGCATTACATTCACCATTAATGATCATGGTGCGCAAAATAATACATAATTTCATAATGCTACCAAATTCTTCATGATTCTTATTATTACGTTAATTTTCCTCTTTTTCAATCACTATGTATTTTAATTAATTAAATTAAGGTAAATTATTGATAAATCTCATTAAGAAGTATTTTAATCTAAGAAGTCTATAAAGAAATTTTTTAACCTATTTAGTCCCATGTATGTATAGTTTTATTCCATAAAGTCATTTTTCTTGATTTATACTATTTTCTTGGACACTTATATCCTTATATAATTTTAATACCCTTATAAATATTTTTGAACGGTTAGCAATTTTATGATGCAAACATTCATATTTTAAAATTCACATTAGTAGGAATGTAAAATTAGCCCGTGGGCAGCCCAAAATCCGCCCGCGAGCCGGGGCGGGCTCGGCCCGTTGACAATGTGAATATTCACACTGACATGTTAACATTCATATTAATATGAGTGTAAAATTGGCCCGCATCCCGGGGGAACGCGAATCCCGCCCGCTGTCCATAAGCGGCCCGGGGCGGGTCCGGTCCGCCCGTTGACAATGTGAATATTCACATTGACATGTTAAGATTCACATTGATAAGAGTATAAAATTGGCCTGCAGCTCATGGCTGGCTGGCCAACCAGCCCGCCCGCCGCCCTGGGAGGGCCCGGCCCGGCCCGTTAACAATGTAAATATTCATATTGACCTGTTAACATTCACATTGATAGGAGTATAAAATTAGCTCGCGCCTCGTGGCTGCCCGAAACCCGCCCAAGGCCCATGGGCTGCCCGAGGCGGGCCCGGCCCGACCTACTGACAATGTAAATATTCACATTAACATGTTAATATTCACATTGATAAGAGTATAAAATTGACCCACAGCCTATGGGTAGCCAAAAGCCTGCCCGCTGCCCAGGGTGGGTCCGACCCGGCCCGTTGACAATGTGAATATTCACATTGACATGTTAACATTTACATTGATAGGAGTGTAAAATTAGCCCGCACCTTGTGGCTGCTCGAAACCCGCCCACGGTCCATGGGTGGTCCGGGGCGGGCCCGGCCCGGCCTATTGACAATGTGAATGTTCACATTGACATGTTAACATTCACACTGATAAGAGTATAAAATTGGCCAGCGGCCCGGGGCCGGCCCGGCCCGGCCTATTGACAATGTGAATATTCACATTGACATGTTAACATTCACATTGATAAGAGTATAAAATTGGCCAGCGGCTCAGGGCGGGCCCAACCCAGCTTGTTGACAATGTGAATATTCACATTAACATGTTAACATTTACATTGATAGGAGTGCAAAATTAGCCCGTGCCTCGTGCCTGTCCGAAACCCGGCCACGGCCCATGGGCGGCCCGACCCGACCTGTTGACAATGTGAATATTCATATTGACATGTTAACATTCACATTGATAAGAATATAAAATTGGCCCGTGGCCCATGGGCGGCCAAAAGCTCGCCCGCTGCCCAGGGCGGGCCCGACCCAGCCCGTTGACAATGTGAATATTCACATTGACATGTTAACATTCACATTGATAGGAGTGTAAAATTAGCCTGCGTTTCGTGGCTGCCCGAAACTCGCCAACGGCCCATGGGCGGGCTTGGTCCAGCCTATTGACAATGTGAATATTCACATTGACATGTTAACATTCACATTGATAAGAGTATAAAATTGGCCAGCGGCCTAGGGCGAGCCCGACTCGGCCCGTTGACAATGTGAATATTCACATTGACATGTTAACATTCACATTGATAAGAGTATAAAATTGGCCCCCAGCTCGTGGGCGGTCCGAAGCCCGACCGTAGCCCGAGGCTGGCTTGGTCCGACCTGTAACAATGTGAATATTCACATTGACATGCTAACATTAACACTAATAGGAGTGTAAAATTTGCCCGTTGCCCGAAACTTGCCCGCAGCCC